GCTTTCTTTTGTTGCATATGACAAGAAACATCTTGAACTTGAACTGACTAACAATCCAAACTATTTTATTTCCGATATAAAGCAGAAAGGCAGCAAATTGTCAGATATGAGCAACTGAAACCAGCAAATGGTTGGTAGTTTTACTCAAAAAATGAATGAAACTGTTAATAATCAATATCATCACTGATTCATTTTGTGTCAGTTCACTAAACTGGTACAGTAATTAAAATGTATTAATTAAATAGCCAATTCAGTTCTCACTGTGTTACCAGCCAAAGTGTTAAAAAAGGTCAAATGTGGACAACTGATTTGATCAGTTTTCTCCACTAGCTACTGCAGCCCAATGGTTGCCTTATTACTCGTTGGATATACTGTATAAAAAATAATTTAAAGACTCAAATGTGTTTATGCATTACAATTATGACACCCCAGTGTAAATGTAATTGTCACTGAGGGTTGCATAGTTTTCATGGTGCTCACCAACTGTGTAATTGTTTTTACTAAAACGGCATGAGTTACAAAATGGCACTTTTCGCAACTCATTTGACAAAGTGATTATACCCGCTCCTCCCCCATGAAACGCCAACAAATTGCCCAACCTCATGTCCCTGAACCACATTGTTTGTGTCACTAATAGACAGCTACTGTTTACGAGTGGAATTTCATGTCAGTTTTGTCAAACCCCCCTTCTTTGACACACAAATGGGGCCCTGGGTGACTAATGGTGCGTTGGATTAGCCAGCAATGGCACACGGTAGTTAGGGAGGTTTAACCCAATGATCCCTGCTTAAACATGAGCTCTAAATCCACACAGCTGACATAAAGCCATTCACTGGGACATTGCTGCTGCACCTACTCACTGCTTCTTCGAGATTAATATAGTCCTTCACTCATTATACACAGTTTTTACTCAATTCTCCAGTCTAGATGTACTGGGTTTATGTCTTGCGACTGTTTGTGAATAATGTATATGGTTTGGTTTGGATAAGTGGCAGTGTCAAACACTCCAGTAAGAGTGCACAACCCAGATAATCAGTCAACATACCTGAGAAGTAGATGGGATAAATATTTGCCTGCAGTGTTTTGTAAGAGAGGAAGTAACATGTAATCATTAGCTTTGCTTTTGCAGTACAGTAAACTGTAAATGTACTTCCCTCTCAAACCAGGACAGGACATACAGTGTGTATTCACTGATCCACCAAGAAACAAATGGGTGGTCCCTTCCTATTTTAATGAAGTTTTAGTGACTGAAGTACACAAATACATCACCAGAATCATGATTAAATATATTGTTATGAATTATCTGTGAATACATTTTCAAGAATAAAAGCATAAATATGATGGCATATCATTTTCAGTGGTTACAATTGCTTCCAAATTAGCTGTAGGGTCTGCTGCAAGTTGTCTTTTTCATACAGCTCACATTTGAAATATAGGGTTAGTCAAACTGTTCAACAAACTGTTAGTTATGCTGAAGTGTTATTGTGGAGCACTCATTTATTTATTGATGTCATTTTCATCTATGTCAAGTGTTGATAAAAAATATCAGACATGTGAGACATTTTCTTGGTAAATGATGATATCATGGATGCCTGAACATTATAAAAGTTGAAGCTGTTGAAAAGAAAAATATTAAGCCTAATATAAACTGGTTTCTACTATATTAGTTTCTTTCTTAAAAAATAATGAGAGGTAGCCCCAATAATTTGAAAACTGAGGCGATGAATAGACCTCACATCGAATATGTTCCTGATAATTCATCACAGAAGACTGAGTGTGCAACCACTGCCTGAGGATACGTGTCCAGTACTATGTCCATGCCCTTATATGACCTCCACTCACCTAATGTAGATAACCATTAGAAGACTGCCTGCTCTATCAAACCTGAATTACGACTAACTGGCAGCCCTGCCCGAGTCACAAACTGCAACCTTACACTGCCAACAAATACTTAATGATCAGCAAAGCACACATCACAGAGGCTGAAACACTGCTAAACCTGTCCTTAAACCAGCCGCAGACACAAAACAACAAAGTAAATCGCCTAAATTAACTAAAACTGGCCATTTTTCCTGCTCAGTTTCTGGGCAAAAGCATCAACCCTGATGATGATGATCTGTCATAAGACAAGGCGCTGACAAGACATCTCTTAGTCATCTTAGTAGTTAGTTTGTTTTTTCCAGTTTTCTCCATGTGAAGAAGCTAGCAGCCTTTAAAGTCTCAGGGCTAGCTAATTAGGGTGCACTAATTGAACCAAACTTGCCAAGGCCAGATAAGTCCTTCTTTGGAGTTTCTCAGCAGGATTTTCTGTTTATTCCGCAAAAATCCTACAGCTGTTCAGTGTCTCTTCTTGCACGTGGGTATGAGATGTATAAAAAGGGCCAGAGTTCCTCTAGTGTTGGCCCAAAGTGAATGTGAACAACCTCAAATTCAAATTCAATGGCCTGGAGTTCTGAGACAAGCAAAAGGTGTCACTGTCCAGATACTTGTGGCCGCACTGATTCTGTACAATATTTGATGTTGTAATGACTGTTGTCAGACAGCTTTGGACTTCACAAATTGAACATTACACATTTCATCTGTCATGACCGCTGCATTTAAAATATGTCAAAACACTCCTACAGGTCTATACATAAATAGCACTGCAGGCACTAATGGTTAGCTAGACTGCAAAACTGCCATTTCTAAATGTGATGGACTCTGCAGTAAGTAAAAGTAAATGAACCACAGGCATTTGTGACATTTTTAAGTGAAGATTGGGGCTGCAGTTATGTACAAGATTTGTAAAACAACACAAATGACAGTGTTTTGAACTCATGAGACCTATTTTGTTTGGGGCCTGTTATGTTTCCATAGCAAAGGAAGCTGGTGGGTGATGGGACACAGATTGTCAGACATTTTTTCTAATGAATCATTTTGGTGTTAAACAGGCCACTCTTTTGTCCCCTGTTTTTCACTGTATTTTAGGTGGTTCCACCCCAACATCACCGGAATCGAAGCAGAGCAGCTCCTGTTGACCCGGGGAGTCCACGGCAGTTTCCTGGCCCGGCCCAGCAAGAGCAATCCGGGGGATTTTACCCTCTCTGTTAGGTAAGTTCTCACCTGCAACTTGTTATTGTCGACCACCATCAGCCTCACTATTTAACCTTATTATTTGCAGATGTCGAGAATGGAAAATAATCATTGTAGCCTTTACATTTTATGCACTTTGTCCTACTGTATAAGCCACTGAGATGACCAAAAATAACACACAAGCATAACTCAAGAACTGCTAATTACCATTAAAATATTCTGAGACCATGGATTTACAGTCAGAGAAGGAACAGTGACTCTGCTGGTTTGACTTAAGTAGGAAGTTCACCAATCAGGAGTCTCTGACATTCTTACCCACAGCTCAGCAAGTGATGTAACATTTTGTCTGCGGGAGAATAGATGGCATTTAAACAGAAGCAGTTTTGTGTGAGTGTTTCTAGGAGCATGTTAGATTAACAGATTTGGATTTGGTAACATTCTGACACAAATTGGCCAGAAAATCCTTCTTTGGGCAGCAGGATGGAGCCGAGGTGAGTTGGACAAACATAACTGAGTGTAATACCTTGTGATAACTTGTCATTCATGCCCTAAAACATATTTCTCTTAATCTCTTTAATTGAGAACCCCAGTGCGTTGCAGAGAATGTGAAATTTCTGGTACGTAGGACTCAGCAATACATGCTGTGGTGATTACAGAGAGCAGGAAACAAACTGAGATAGAAGAAGAGAGAGTGTGGCTCTTCCTTGGCAACGGAAGCTTTTAAGAGATACATCAGTCGGCCAAGCGCCTGGAAGAAAGCCCGAACGCATTTGTTTCTCTGTGACTGTAGCTGGCATGGCGGCATGGGTAGAGAGAGGCTGTTAGTGTTTGTGTGTGTGTAGGTGTGTGTGTGTGTGTGTGTGTATGTGTGTGAGTGAGTGAGAGAGAAAGAGAGAGATACTGTAAAGAAAGAAACAAAGACAGAAAGGAAACGGTGTAGTTAGACATGCAGTAGCTTTTAAATATGGTTAAGGAGTGAGGGACCTGTTAAGGCTTTGACCTTCACTGCCTGTGGTTTGTGTGCATTCGCGTGTGTGGTGCAGTGTGTCATAAATCACACACACCACAGGAAGGTTGGTAGGGTGAGTTGTGGCCACGATTTGTGTTCTTGACAGACTTAAACACACATACACACACACTGAGGTCAAGTGGCCAGTGTATAGAACCTCACCACCTGCTAGGAAAGGTAGGTCACATTGAACTAAGAGAAAGGAGGAGGGAAGCAGAGTTCATATTAAAGAGAGACGTTGTAACTTTTGAAAGAAGAAACACACTCTTAAAAATGAAAAGTTGAATTCATTAGCAGTAAAATTCACCATTGCTCAATCCAGTACACTCAGGGGGTTTGCAGATCCAGTAGCCTCATGGTGCTAAATGTTATCAAACTTTAGTAGCATAACATTTACAGGGGACTTTTTAAAGCCACTGTTGTAGCTGTACTGTGTTAAAAATATAAAGTACTGGAGAAAAACATCAGGAAATCTTGGTGAAGAACTGCGATCAAATGAATGATTTTTAGAAAATGTGTCCCTAAAAACCATTCACAAAAAACATTATTATATTACTTATATAATACCCTGTCTTGTTTTAGTGATTACTTTATGCCTACTAGTCTGCATATTTCAGCATAACACCAATGTCCCTCCTACAACCAAACTTGTAACCTCAAAACATGGTATAGCAGTGTCCTGCCACAGTATCCTGTTTCTCAGGAAACTGAGTCAACTAGAGTGGCAAAACTCAACACTTGCACCTATTTGTGACTTTATTATAGAAACAGGCACAATTTCCATCTACACCTTCCTAAATAGAAAAAAAAAGCATTAAAGTGTAAAAATACAGATTGTATAATATTTTAAATCTAATGTTCACAGCCATTTTGAACTGTGACATAATGTCTGCAAAAAAGTAGAAATATTAGAATATACTGAAGATAATTACTTAATTATCCTATATCTACAGAAGAATCATGCTACCTACAACTCAATCCCAGTTCTCTTCACATACACACACACACACACACACACACGCACACACACAGTGTCTTATCAGAGCAGAGGAGAGGATAATTAGCCAGTCATTAGCCAGGTTTCATCTTACCAAGGCCATTATGGGCACTATATTCACTGTTCAGATTGTAATGGACGCTAAGGGAGTCTGTTGCCCCCCTCTCTCTTTGTCTTATCTTATCTTCCCCTCTCTGCCCCCACTTCTTATCTCCACCACTTCTCTTCTCCTCCGCTCCACGAGGTGAACAGAAGAAGGAGTGGTCGGACAGAGCTGCTGCTCAAAAGCGTCTGAAGGCTGAAGTCTAATGAGTGCTTTTTGAGGGTTTTGAAAATGTAATCAATTCAGAGTTTCATGGAACTCAAAGAGCGAGAAAGAGAAAGTTTGAAGCAGAAAAAGTTTTGCCATAATTTATATCCAAGTCCAACTCCACAAGGAGAGTAGTCTGGTCAAGTTTTCTCATTTTTCATGCTCTTTATACACTCTAAAGACCCCGAGGAGGAATTTTAAGGGCAATCTTAAGAGAGAATTTTGCAGGGCAAATTACCACAGAGAGCAAATGGATTTTCTTCCAGCCTCTGTATTATATAATGCTAGCCTGGGTTTACTTAGATGTGTTTCCATTGCAGCCAGGCTATTTATAGTTTTACATAGCTCAGTAAAAAAACATTATTATTGTGGATGTCAAGTCAATCTGTAAGTGTGTTTATATGCATACTAGTATCCTGCATTTGAGTTTTGTCCTGTTTTTGATCAAATTCTGGCATTTACATGGAACATATTCATAGCATATTTATTCAGATTGCATATTCCTATATAGGCTACAATAACAATATTTACTGTCAGGGTACTGTGGCATGTAAACACCATATCCTGGTTTCTGAACATTCTTTGTTGGTACAGAACAGAGTGGCTGAGATGGTGAGAAATCAAGACACACCTACAGACAGAAGAGCAGAAATCTGGATACTGTTAGGATCATGTACACGGACATATGAATATCCAGGTTTTTCATTTACTTAGTCTTATCCTGATTATGAGAAAAAAATAGAATAAGACTAAAAAACAGGATAGAGAGAAAGACAACAATCAGGGCTAAATAGTGTGCAAATGTTTGTGTCTGTGTTTCCTCTTTCCTGACACTTGCAAACAGACTTATTGCATCTACCTTTATACTATGCACAACTCCTGGACAATGGCTACTACTTCTTTTGGGAAGTACTGAAACAAACTACAAGTATCCATATTAGCTTTACTTGTTTTTTTTGGTTGTCTTTACTTTCTCACTCTACTCCCTCTTCAATTATTGACAGTGATTGTTACTGAACTGTTAACTTTAATAAAGTTTGTTAGTAAAAAAAAATGAGAAAAGCCTAGTGAAAACTGGTGCAGACTATGTTTAAAGCCTTTAAAGCTCATTCATCTCAGTGTCTGTCGCTTATCTTTTTTGATAATACTGCTTGGGAACACAAATGTCGCTTAAGTGTTTGTATATAGGCAAAACTGGCTGTGTGATATCTGTCGTCCATTGTAGAAGTTATTATTAGGCTTTAGTCATTGTCTTGGAGCTTGTGAAGAAACAAGATAACTAAAAGATATCCTGGTTGCCTGAATTGGCAGACACCTTTTGTCTCAAATTGCCTAATCTTCAGAAGTGAGCCCACTGCCGCTGAGGAAATAGACTATATTGTTATATTACCAGATGATGCACGGGATGTATGCCTTGGTTTTCCATACAAGCTCTTGAGATACAGAACACACTGACCTGACATAACATCTAACATTTTATGTCAGATCTGAACATGCCTCCTTTATGTTAGAACCCAGTGTAGTAGTCTGTAGAGATGGCAAAAGGTGAATTTAAATAGAGGCCCTCAAATGAAGGGTTCTAAAGTGGACTGGTTACACTAAAAGGGATTTCTCAGTGGTGTCTGGATGTATTGAGTGGAAAATATTGCTTGGAATAGCTTCAGGGCAGAGCAAGCAATAATTTATATGTTCTGGGCTTTGTGCTTGATTATTTATGTGCATTTTTTAGCAATATATTTCCCAGTTGTCTGTTTTTGTGTATGGGTTTGTTTAGTCATACAGATCTAAATACTCTTGATTACTAAAACTTTTTGCAGCCTTCAGTGTCATGGCAATAATGTTGGGAAAGATTTTAGCACATAATCCCGCTTTTAAAGATGCGATCAGTTTGCAGCTGTTAAGCTGCAAAAGAACAGTGATGTGTTCACATAGAAAGGCAGTGTGAAGGACTATGTGACATTATGTACATTTGTGCTCAGTTAGTCCTATCAATGCAAACCAGTTCACAGGATAATCAAGGATGAACTTATCTTCTATCTATCTTTAAAGCAGGATACCATCACATCATCAAATTAAATACCTACAGTAGTAAAGACTGACTTTAATTCCACTGCATTTGGTTTTCTTCTTGTTTTGCTGAAAGTTAGAATCATTTACAGTTTGATTTGTGTACTTAAAGACATTAAAGTTTTTTCATATTTTTCATTTAGATAAACAAAATTGCATATCCTTGGAACAAAGCAGAATAACTGAGATTTATTTTGCTTGTTGTTATCAGTAAATCCAACTAATTGTGAGCAGAATATGATAAAGCAATGTTATTCCAGAGATGTGCTATTTTCAGCCAGACACTCTTCTGTAGCTTAAATAATCGTACAGGATGTTGGTGAGAAACATATACACGGATTTAAAAATACAGAACTTCAGTCAGTAAGGAAGAACAACTTCCACTTCTCATAGATGTGTATTATAATTTTATGCTACATCCTCAACGTCCTCAACTGTGAAAGGTCTGAGGACCCACACATTATAAAGTAATAAAGCCAGAACAAGTAATAGACAGTGTCCTGGATTCTTTGTTTTTATCACAGTCAAAAGTTTTTGATCTTACGCAACTGCCAGTAAGACTTTGTGTTAGGAATGCAAGATATAGATTTTTTTATCAGCCGATACGATAATTACCTGCTTTTGACGGCCCATACCGTTAGGATAACTGATCATTTCACATTTTTGTATTTTAAAAGTTCAGAACTTGTAGTTTGTGCACACCTGAGGGTAAGAAAGGCTGAGATGTAGTGAGAAAAGATGATTGAATGATTTAATAATCTATATTGACAGACAGAGAGATAATTTCATTATTGGAATAATTCATGATAATATAAATCTCCCATTATTGACTGCTTATTTATTGGGCCTGATATGTATCATCCATCCCTACTTTCTGTTATGCAGGAACTGTCATAATTGTTTTGCTTGTTCCTACAAGAATTACATTACTGCCCATCTTTGAAGGTTACTTTTGTGTCATCAATGAGATTAAATTGCATCTAAATGTAGGGGAGAATTGTCTCTTTTTAATTAAATGTGTGATAATGACTAAAGGAGTAAGCCTGATTCGTCTAATGAGAATACTAACACAGGAGGAATCAGTCAAATGGTTCTAAGTACCTTAACAGAACCATGCTTAAATCAGACCAAATGCCGAAAACACACTTTGTGGTGCTCTAAACACTTTATGTCAATGGCTCTCTGTGTAGAGCAGTTGCTACCTTAATGAATTAGTTTTGTTTAGACAGAGAGGGGATTTTTCTCTTACATTGCAGTTGTTTTGTGGGTTGGTGATTTCATTTAGGTCGACTACCACAGTGAACTTTTTTTTGCTTCACTGTGATTCTTTCAATACACACGGACTGTGGCACACTTAGGTACTTCGGCTTCTACTCACAATATCACAAAGTGGTGAATATTTATGATATACATATGATCAAATAGGGATATAGGTGTTCTTGTAAATATATCAGTGATGATTTTAATGCTTAAAATCCATTAATTGGGTCACTGCATTAAGCCATTTTATTAAGGCTAAAAAAAAGATAAGATTTATTTTTTAAGCGACTTTGCTCTGTGCTACTAATTCACTGTATCCAGCTGGAAATTACTCATAGACTACTATGCAAACATCCACCATGGACCTGGATAGGATTCTTGTCCATTATAGAAAAGAGAGGTCATTTTGGACAGTATGGAACCAATAGTGATCCACAAGGCTATGTGTGGATAGTGTGGATCATTGCATAATATAAATGAACTGTACTGAAAAAATCTGTCACATTATCTAAAATTAAAGTCGTACCTTCTGATGGTTTGTTAGGTTGTACCTTAATAAGGTGCAATGCTGGCTGTCTTATACTGTAATTGGTAAGTTGGTTCATAGTATAGTAACTTCACAAAATACTTGTGGTACCTAATAATGTATGCCGTTAATCAAAAGAGCATTGGCACAGTTATCACTAAAAGAGCAATAAATGGTGTTGTGATGTAGAATGCCACTAATCATGTTGACATTTTTATTCTCACAAAAACATGGCACAAAACAAGACAGAAAATCATGTCAAATAATCTGTCATGAAATGAAATAAACATTAGCGAGCCAGAGCTGAGCAGATATGATGCTTACCTTGGCTCCCTGTATTATTTCTATGAAGCCATATTTTCATAGATGCCTAAATGTTATCAATGTCTCAGAGAGGGCAGAGCAGGGAAGTGAATGAAAATCTGATGGGACGTGTTTGGCTCATTCCAGAGTTAATGGTGTTAAACTCTGAGAGAAAAGGGGGCTTTGGCCCAAGAGTTGAGGAGGGGCCTTTAACAGAGCCATAGACCTGTGGCAACCTGCCAACAGCCGCTAATAGAGCCATAAAGCAATTACCAGGAAATACTGGGAGAGAAGGATGGAGGGAGAGATGGGACAGATGAATGTGAGAACGAAGGAAAGGATTTACAGTATGTTGAGTGGATGGAAAAAAGGAACGTGAAATTCATGAGGACAACAAGAAAAGTGATGGAGGAAATAGGATTTGTGCCATTTGATATGACCATTAGCTCATAATCAGTTTGCAGAGAGAGACTATTGTTTCTCAACCTCGGATCAGAGAGTACTGACTGCCTGGCCTGGTCCCTAAAACACTGCTGTATGTGTGTGTGTTTGTGTGTCATCATTGTTACTATGTTTACAGGATGTTTTGTTTATTTCTGCCAAAGAAACATGTCGGCCGAAGTCACTGGAGATGGAAAATGGAAAAACAAGTACATTTAGCAGTCGAGCTGTTGAGCCGCATCTTGTTCTTCACTTGCTCCCAGGCAGATATCTTTTATAGAGTAGAACTGTGTGTGTGTGTAGGTGTGTGTGGTGGTGTGTGTGTGTGTGTGTGTTGTGTGTGTGTGTGTGTGTGTGTGTGTGTGTGTGTGTGTTTCTCAGTGTGCACCTATTCAAACCAGTCAGAGGACTTTGAATATGCAAAGTGGCTCCAAATGTTTTCTGGCTTATCAGTCTTTGAGCTCAGCAGCTGCATGCATTTCTGTTGTATTCTTCTGCAATCACGATACAGCCTTCCTCCAAATACATTAGATATGAAAACTACAGAGTATTAAAACAAGGGATGATCCCTTGTGAGAAGATTTGTGTTTTTCTGTTTATAGAAGTCAAAGTGAAAAATATTCTATGCTTGATAAAATGGATCAGTATTTTTTTTTTTTATCAGTGTGGCTTCGTAGCTTTTTCTTGCATTTTCTTTCTTGTCATAGCTTGTGGCTTATTTTATCATTCCAGTGTTGGTACAGATGGAAAAGGCCAAAGTTATTTTATAATATGTAACAGTAATACCTATTATACTTAATTCTATATAATAAAGTGTTCAGCTTTGCAAGAAAAGCTTTAATATTGCAGAGATATGAATGTATCACAGACAGAATAAGGTACATAGTGCAAGAAAATAACACAGAAGAGACTGGCAAATTCTTAAACGTGTTTTCAAGAGAATGAGGTTCAGTGTCATAAAATGGGAGCAGATGGCTTAATAAGCTGGACATTTTTATAGTGTACTCATTTATGCTCTGTGAGACAGTGTGGGCGACAAAGTGTGTATGGTTTTGATTTTGTTTGTGTGAGCACATACTGTATGAACATACAGTATGTGTAGGTGGCTGTTAGTGTGTGTGTGTGTGTGTGTGTATGTGTGTGTGTGTGTTTACATGTGCATGTGTATGTGTGTGTGTTTGCTGTTTAAATATCTGCAGGGCACAAGTGTCAAGAGAAAAATACAAAGAGAAAAATGCTGAGTGCTTCTTTTGAGTGAGTCCACCTCTGTTAACATGCATGATAACTATCTCAGTGATTGAATTCCCACTGTGTTTCTTCCCGCCCAGGCGGAACGATGAGGTGACCCACATTAAGATCCAGAACTCGGGCGACTACTACGACCTGTACGGAGGCGAGAAGTTTGCCACACTGGCCGAGCTGGTGCAGTATTACACCGAGCAACAGGACCTCCTGCGTGAGAGGAACGGCCATGTCATCGAGCTCAAGTATCCACTCAACTGCAAGGACCCCACCTCTGAGAGGTGCCGACAAACTCGCACACTAACGCCCACACATGCAAATTAGCTCACATTTACATACAGCCAAGCACTATGTGGATGATTCCCGGCAGAAAGATACAAATATACATAGAAACTTATCTATCTATCTAAGGCTGGCTCTATATGTTGCTCTTTTACGTAAACTCATTACAGTTTCTCCCTGACTGCAGGTATTTTTATTCTAACACCTTCAGGGGTGTCAGGCAGTAACGGCTCATCCTGCCATCGGGAGCTAAACCACCTGAGAAATGTTATTAGTGTAGCTTTCAGTGCAGTTACAGTATCCTGTTATGGCCTAAATGCTGTTTGTGACGCATTGTCACTATGCAGAGAACTAAACTCTGGGTGAAATACTAAATCCTTGTCCTTTTCTTGTATTTGATTTGTTACATAAAAGTGATTAATTATTATTATCATTATACATTGATTGAGTTTTGTATCATCGTGATGCATTTCTAGTTTGTTGAACCTCAGTGTAGAATTGCAATAAAAGTCTGTAGAGCAAGGCCAGTAATGAACAATATATGTACACTTGGAAAAATAAATAAAATAACTAAACTTATTCTATCATCTTAAGACAAGTTGAATAAATGATATTATTATAATATTATATATTAATATAGAAGCAAGTGAAAGCAGATCTTCATGTCTTGAATGGAACTTTACCATACAGCTTGGCGTTTTTTGCTACAATTAACATCAAAATATTAATATTTTTTCTCATCTTGATGAACTATCCACTGTAATAGATTACATTGGGAAAATTAAAAAACACCTGAAAAGTAAAACGTGATCTCTGTTTGGGTCTCCACCAGCTCTAGAAAAGTATCTGGTTTAGCTATTCTTTAGCTGCTTAATGCTCACCCACGTAGTCTGCCTACCGTGGCTAGAAAGAAGGTTGATAAGAGCGCTAAGAACGAACCACAATAGGAAAGTTGTGGGTCAGAAAGCTAAATCAATTTGCGGAACTGCAAACAAGCGACAATTTTCACACACATAGTCATTTGATTCATTGTTAATATAAAACTTGAGTGTGAGCTTTAAACAACTTATTTAAAAAAAAAACAGTTTGTTTAGAATTATCAATTTAAACAACCCAAATTTTAAAAAATGTTAATACAGTATGATCACCACAGTGCAATTCCATTAAGAGACAGTAATATTGAATTATTGTCCAGGCCTACATCACCCACAAGTTTACAGTTAATAGAACAGCATCAGGAAAGAATCAGCTGTAAGTTAATTAACTATGTACTGATACACGTATGTGTTTACACCTACTGTTTGTAAGGAGGATGCGTTATTCTGTACACACTCACCCCCCACACATTAAATCCAGATGCACTTCACATTCACATGCATAAATAGTGGCATATTCCCAAATGCATCTTCAAACAAACTAAGTGGGTGGTGCTGCTGTTTTTGTTTATGTGCACCAAGTATCCACTCCCTAACATCCTTCCAGAGAATATACAACAGGTTGGACGCAGCTATGCACTTCATTACACCTACACACCTTCATTGAAATGAAAGACTTAGGCGGCTGGTGTGTTAATGCCAGGAATCCATGCATGCACTCACACGCACACAGGAAGCATTTTAGAAAGCTACATGATCTTTTTTTATATCATCATCTGCAAATCATCACTTTTTGGCTGTATTTGGTATCGTCTCGTGCTGAGCACGTTATGTACATTTTCTTTTTTTACACATCTGCACATTGCAATGTGTATATCTTAGTTTCTGTTCAGGTCTAAGAACAAGTTGCGATCTATGGTTTTGGTTTATGTGGTTTTCCATTCTACATACATCTCTTGTCAGAGCCTCCTACATGCTTATGCTCACCACACAGGAAAAAAAGGCAGTTTTTTTCATCTTAACATCAGCAACTGAGTGAGGCTGAGACACTTTCATTCTCGAGTAGGAGTCTTATGTTCACAATGTACATATAGAAAGACGTTATGTTGAACCCTAAAGCTGCAATACAGATTTTCTTGAGGGAGGAAGCATATTACTAGTCCTCCCCCTCGAGTTTTTCAAGTTATATTCTCAACTCTTGTTACTTGTCTTGATAATCTTTCTACCTTGAAACAGCATCAAGCCTGAGGCTGAGCTTCTCAATCCCCACAGGATTTGCAGAAGCAGACGATGAATGTCTAAAATAATGAATGCTGATCTTCACTGTGTTTTTGGATGTGCATGTTTTTATCTGGTGTCACAGCCAACTAATATGACATGATACCCACAGTATATGGTTTTGACCCTAAATGTCCTAAACACCATTTAAACTGGCTATAATCGATATTTGTACAACAACAATGCATCATATGACTGTGAAAAACAACGCGGGAATGTGAATCACCTGAATCTGCATCTCTGCAAGCTTTATGGAGCTTTGTAGTGATTTTCAGCTCATAGTTATCTGTCTGGCCCACAACCTAAATTTTTTTGTTCAGTCCCGCTGCTCTTATAGCATTGTTTTTAGTTGCAGCAGGCAGTTTTTTCCAGTAAAAACGCTTAGATAAACCCACTGTACACTACCTGCTCAGCACCAAACTGCAGACAGAGACAGTTAGTGAGTCACTGGGGAACATAGTGGAGCACTCAGCAGCTAAAGAGCCAGATATCTCCCTCAGGAGTTGGCGGAAACCAGAAACTCAGCTAAAATAGACTTATGTTCATCAGGTGGCCAAAAACATGACTCTGAGTGAATATGTTGCTGAAAACTTGTTGTGAAACTGTTCGCAATATCAACTTCAAATGTGACGATATGTCAATTATGTGTTCAGAAGTTTGCTTTTGTGCACCCAAATTGCCAAAATAATCTAATATTGCAAATTTAAAGCTGATATCAAATGTCTAGTGTGTAACATGTAAGAATATCTATTGGCAGAAATGGAATATAATATTCATAGGTATGTTTTCATTAGTGTATAATTATTTTTAAAATAAGAATCGATTTGTTTGCTTACTTTAAAATGAAGGAGCATGACCTATCCTATAGTGTCTGCCATGTTGAACCGCCATCTTTCTACAGTAGCCCGGAACTGACAAACCAAACAGTTTTGCGAGTTTCGTGGCCATCATAGTCTCTCCTTGGAAGGCGAGCAGTTATTCAGTTGATTGCAATTTGCAACTTCACCACTAGATGCCACTAAATCGTACACACTCGTCCTTTAAGAGTAGGGAAGAAAAGGTATTTTTTATGTGGAAACATTTTAGATTACAATGTAAATAAAATTAAATAAAATGAAGATAACATCATAACATTGTCAGTGTCTCATTGAATATTGTATCTGGATTCACGTGTTGGTATATCACTGTTCTGTCACTCCTCTCCAGGTGGTACCATGGGCACCTCTCTGGGCGAGATGCAGAGAAACTGCTCACAGACAAAGGCAAAGCCGGCAGTTTCCTGGTACGGGAGAGCCAGAGTAAACCGGGCGACTTCGTCCTTTCGGTTCTCACCAATGAAGAGAAACACGAGAATGTGGACCGCAAGACCAAGGTCACCCATGTTATGATACGCTACCAGGTGAGGTTACTCAGTTCAGGCCACTTGAAATATACAGAAACTTTAAATGATAAGGAGGACTTTGTGGATTGAGACTGCCTGGAGGCTTATGATGCCTTCACTACCTCCACATACTGTTTGAGTCATGTATTTTTAAACAGGTCATGATTCATTTTTGCTCTCTAGGAACTACAGCTGTTACTGTAGTTAAACTGTTGATGTTTGTCTCCAGCAGGATGGTAAATACGACGTGGGTGGTGGTGAGAGGTTCGACACCCTGGCTGACCTGGTGGATCACTATAAGAAGAACCCCATGGTGGAGAAAAGTGGCATTGTAGTGCACCTCAAACAGGTATGGAAGAGACATTTAACAAACAACACAAACAAAAGCATAAAATCTGGTGAATCTTTTGCATACAACACCTTGAAGGCATGGATAATGTTACAATATGCTGGTTGATTTTAACCAAATGAAAATGTTATTTTCATACTTAGACTTATAAAATTTAGAAAAACTAGTTTTGCACTGTTGACTTATTAATGTTCTCTGTTCCAACGTGACAACGACAGCCCTTTAATGCCACAAGGATAAATGCAGCCAACATTGAGAATCGGGTACGAGAGCTCAACAAAGTAGCAGACAACTCCGAGAAACCCAAACAAGGATTCTGGGAAGAATTTGAGGTATGTAGCCTCAAAACTGAATCGTTTTTATAATCTTTGATTTTTATATGATGAAATGTATATATCTGTTATATTTGTTAGTCATTTTGTTATTCCAGTCATTTAAGCTCTGTGTTCAATAGCTTTATTAAATGAGGGTCCAGCGAAGAGCTTGACTGGCTCGAGTAATATGTATGAGAAATAATTGGAGAAACTGATTCATGTAAATTACTCTGTTGAGTGCCCTCTTCACCAGGATGCCAAGTTTTTGCCATTGGAAAGAGTTTTGAGGATGAAGTTTTCAATAGCTCTCCTATAACACACTCTTTGAAAAACAGATTTTTCCATTTTAATGGCTTTTTTTTTTTCTAACTTTAATGGCTTTCTTGCTTTAGGTAGTAACATAGAGTTCACACTATTTTCCGGAACAGTAATTGTCCCATAAATGTCATATACTATGTTATAGCCGATTTGTTCCATGACTATTTATATTCATCTGTTTCATATATTTTTGTGTAAGCTTACATCTATGTACATGTGTTCATGCTGCCTTAACCTTTGAGTAATGCTTTTGGTGGAAGCTCATCTTGTGGCGTGCTCTTATTTTCCTGTTACTGTAATTTTCATGCAACTGACATTAATAAGAATAATTTCTATTGTGTCAGTGCATACTGCTCAATAACAAGTTTTTACAGTTTATGTTTGTCTATGAGATCATAGTTACTGATCAGTGTCTGGATGTAGATTGTCTGCTCCAAGGCTACAATCTTGATTGAGATGATAACCATTTTTCAAATGAATATTTACTTCATCTTCTGTGTTGACGTGTGTGTGGATGATGTAATATCCATAACGTAAACACTCCGTCTCATAGATAAGCTACACAATAAAAGTTATTTGGAATTCAGAAAAACAGTGCTATGTAGGAGAAATTCTCCTAAGATTTTGAGAGTTGCTAGTTTTAGAATTATAGATCTGCTGCGATTAATCAGATCTCTTTACTTTTATGATGCACGGAGAGAAGACCTCAACATGGTTGTTCTCTGGCAGGACTTGAAGTGCCTTACCTAATATACCATCAAGTAAACAGAAGAGCAGTTGGTGACCTCCTGACAAAATTCATTCAGTCAGTCATTCATTCAGGTGTTTGTATAGATATATATGTCAAACACCATAGGCCTTCCTCAGTACAATGGTCCTTTAATGTTACAGTGTAACTCTGAGTGGACTGTCAGCGGGTTGTGATCTGACTTCATCACAACTTAAACACAAAAAAAACATGGGCTTCATCAATATGTTGATTACTAAATCTGCAATGTTAATTTCCAGCATATTAAGATACTAACTGGTCTGTTAATAGCTCTTGCTTTGCATTCATGGCATATACTGTAACTCTAGATAAATGTCTCAATTGCTTAACATATTCTATCCTTCAAAAGGACATATACATCCAAAATGAATTTATGTAGCAAGTATGAAAGAAGAGCTTTTGAGCCCTGCTTGTATTTGAAGGAAACTCATGCTCTTAAGTCTACAACCTGAACACTGACATGTGCAGTTTTCCTGTTCTGTTCTTGCACTCCAGTATGACCCCTACTGTATTAAATGCCCATTACACTGTTCTGACACAGAGCATTAAGAGGCTGTAAGGAGTAAACAAACAAAAGTTAGGTTTATATTCAATGTTGCTCAACAAAACACATCTATCAAAAGTGTTAAATGCATTTCTCATAAAACATTAGCATATATCCACTGGCCTCGTAGTCTGCTGTATAGCTTGGAAAATTACCGCCACCTGTTTGTCAGCAGAACTCCACAGGGAACCTTTAAGTAGTATCTAAACATTTTAAGTGGGTGATATGAATTAGTTAGCTCAGAATTAGTGATTGCATGATAGTTGAGTATATAACTTCCTGGAACTCTTTGTCTCATCTTGCTTTTCTCCTTTTTTCTTTCGTCGTCAACTATCAGGTACTTCAGCAGCAGGAGTGCAAACTGCTGTATCCCCGGAAAGAAGGCCAGAAGCCAGAAAACAAGAGTAAAAACAGATACAAGAATATCCTCCCCTGTGAGTCTCGCTGCAACCTGCCATTTCCTGTCTCTCCAACTTCCTGTGGAAAGAATGACACAAATACAAATACGTAGAGGCCTCTGCTGAGCATGAAGATTTTGTTCTGATAGCTCACAGAATATCTACTGACACCATCAAGAGTGATATCAGGAAACTGTAAACATTTTAATGTGTATTATTAACAGTTTGACTTTGTATTTTCAGTTGACACAACACGGGTTGAAATCAGGGAAGCAGATCCAGATGTTCCTGGTTCAGACTACATCAATGCCAACTACATCAGAGTGAGTCTGTTCAGCATTATACAAGGCCATTTCTCCATAGGCCATAAAAAAATGGATGGTTCAGTTCCAAAGTAGGACATACATCACGGTATGTCAAAACAGACGATTTTGTCATAAAATATACTCAAACAATTAAAAACCTTTTTGTTTCTTTATTTTATTCTTTATATTAATTCATGAATATTTTCTTCACAAAGTTAAACTATGACTATATGGCTTTACACGACTGTAAGCGTGCAAGTCTGTGACTGAGTGAAGAAGTTACACCATTGGTTGGCTGAATGCTGCCACTTCCTGTATCTGTTTTTGAATTAAAAGCCCTCTAGTATAGCTAGGTGTTGACCTAGTGTTGTTGAATTTGTCATCAGGTAGTTCACATTACATTATTACATTTCCTGTGCAAATATGAATCATACTGCCTTAATTGTTAATCTTAATAATTGTTGACACTGTACAGAGTATGCATGAAGAGGGGCGCCATGTGGACGAGGGCAAAGTCTTCATCGCCACCCAAGGGTGCCTACAGAATACAGTCATTGACTTCTGGAAGATGGTGTATCAGGAGAATACACACGTCATCGTCATGACCACGAAGGAGGTGGAACGAGGACGGGTGAGCGATTGGCGCTAAACATACTGCAGGTGTACAGGAGGGTAGTTCAGCTGGGGGCCTGCGAAATATTGTTATTGCTTCCGTATACCTTAATGTTGAACAAGAAAGGTAAAATAATTAGGTAGAAATGTTTCTATACATTGTATTTCCAAACCAAGTCACGTATTTTTCTCTCCCCAGCTCTTTTTCATTTGCTTTCTCTAGCATTTATACCTAAATGGTCTCTATTGTCTCAAGATTGCACTCCTTTGAGCTGATTGCTGTTGATTGCTTGTAATGATTGAGAGCTATGAACTGAGGGGTATTCTGTGACAAGAGATTGGAGATTTTATGATAAGAGCATGAGTGAAATACCCCACATCTAAAACATTCCATCTTAAAAATCCACTACACTAGTCAAGTGTAATTAACAAGTGCTTTACAGAGCAACAGAATAACGGGACAAACAAGAGCAAGAGGTGGACAGTTTTAATGTCTCATGATGAGCTTAATGCTGTTTCAAGCCCTTCCTAATCCAGAAGGAACAAGGGGACACAAAAAGTGAATTTAACAAAAAAAAATAGTTTAAAGATACAGTATCAAGTCCTTGTGTTGACCTTTACAAATCTGCATTGCTCTAACTTCATGTCAACCATTTTCTTCCTGCATTCTCAGTTGAAAAACAGTACTTGATGGCCATAGCTGATTCTAAGAGAGAGGAGTGGATAAGTGTAGTAGGGATGATGTGTGTGTGTGTGTGTGTGTGTGTGCGCGCGCGGTGTGGGGGTGGGGAGGGAGATGGCTGACAAGGATAGTATGACAGTTAAGCTGATTGGAAAGCTGCTTGGGATGAGCTGGTTCTTTGGATTGTCTAATACTTGCCACCACCCCCTTTCCTCTCTCCCTCTTTCTCTCTGTTTTTTCTTCCGATTTAGAATAAATGTGTCCGTTACTGGCCCGACCTCCATGGCACAAAGGAGTTTGGGAAGGTGCTGGTAAGAAACGTGGACGAGCGTCCAGCGCAAGACTACATCCTGAGGAAGCTGGAGGTGACCCGTCTGGACCGGGTAGGGAAAGCTGTGTGCTCTATCAGAGCTGACCCACTGACCTGGGGTCAGATTATCTAACGCCTCACACACATACGCACACAAACACAATCCTACAGCACGTGCTCAGGCTTAAAATGATCGACTGCAACAATCTCAAGAATGAAAGAAGCAGATAGAGGAAAAGGAGAGAAAACGCTTAAAGAAAACCTAGAGTTGTCCCTGTATACATGAACACTATCCAATTAATGCGTAATAGAAGCTGCTGCTTGAACAGTAGTCAATTGCATTTAAAAGGGAAGAATTTGAAATGGTTTTTAATGTCTGGATAGCCAATCCTGGTGTTTGTACTGTAGAAGTTTACAGATGTAATATCTTACATATGGCTATTGAAAATCCTATATTCTATTTAAAACCACAAAGGTTTAGTGTTGAGGCAAATTACAGCTAGATTGAAGAAAATCAACCATTACTTTTTTATTAATAGATCTCACTCAGGTTTACTGAGGTTACTGTTAATCTGTTATAAAAACAAGAGACTGAAACAGACAGAGTAGTCTGTTTTTGAAGTCTGTCTATGTTTTATACTGCACACAGAAAGGGTTTCTGGTTGCTGTAATGCTTTGCTCTGTACTGTATAGTCCACTGTAAGAACGCAGTCCACAATCCTTTACACAAAAGCATATTCCAGTATTCAGGGCTACAAATTGGTACTGGTGTAATTGTTGTTACTACAATTCCAGTCTCAACATAGCCTACATGTGACCACCAGAGAGTATCCCTCTATTACAGAACAGAAATGAAAAAGTCCCAGCCAACACAAAGAGGGAATTTTGTCCTGACTTTGGAAAATACCCACTTGAATTGGCTAAATCAAGCTGCTGAAGCATCATATTAGCTTTGGCTCAACTTCGGAAACCATGTGTGGAATGAGGATTATGGATTTTGTCGCCTATTTAGAGGAAGAAAGAGGAAGACACGTGTTACATGCCCAAAGTTAGCTTAACACAATTTTAAAATCCTCTGTTTTTGCTGTAATTTTTATGTAGAAGGAGCCTCTGAGGTACATTTGGCACTATCAGTACCTAAGCTGGCCGGACCACGGGGTGCCCAACGAGCCCGGCGGCGTCCTCTGGTTCCTAGAGGAAGTCAATCGCACCCAGAGTACCATTCCAGACACTGGACCCATTGTCGTCCACTGCAGGTACAAGCAGCAGGGAAGGACACGGTTTTTACAATATGAAGCTTAGAGTTGGAAGACACCGTTATTGGGCCTTAAGTTAATTTACCGGTGTGTCAGGTGATCTGCCAACTCTATTCTTCAGCAGATATCAACAACAACAATTAATAAAGTTCCATCTTGTGTACACACACATGCAAACACACAAAGGCTGCTGGCCTCCTCATCTGAGCCACAAACCTGAGGGCAGTGTTACTGATGAAGACAACTACAGCATGGTCTAAATAAGAGAGTAAAATAGAATAAGTTTCACTTATTAAACTGTCTTTGGTGAAAGTTCATCAAATAGATTCAGAGACATACTCACCCACTCATTACACATTCATTTGTCTGGTTTGAGAGTTCTAGGGGTTTTCCTGTATGGTGTCACTGCTGGCTTTTTTCTTTTTTGGTTTTTCCTGAGTTGACTCAATTTCCCATGAAATGTTAAAGGTGTGAACACCTGAAACAAAAAAAGTTTATAGTTTAAAAAAATATTTTTTCAGTTGTCCACTTGGGTGTGCTATAATTAAGTTTCAAAATGTTGCCTCCTTATCGGCAATAAGGCTTCACTAAACTAGCACCAGTAACAAATTATACATGGCCACTATAAACCAACCAAATTATACATATATATGTGTAT